ACTTTCATATGTCGCATCACAAGCTCGCGTGTGCACGTCTACATGTACAAGCGCGAAATTTCACATACACTATTTTTGCTGGTCACTTGGCTGGAGGAGGACGAGCGATTGTCGCCTCACCGCACAGGCTCCATAGAAAATGAATGGAGAGCGAGCGACGTCGCCTCCCGTGTGTCGAGCCCTTAATCCTGCCAGTGGGGTGATTGCCAAATGAAGCTGAAGCTTCCAGTTCAGGAAAGGGCTAAAATGTGATTCCACCTAATTTTTCACTATCTTGAGCACCGTTAATCGCTCTAGATTAAAAATTAAAATACTTATACACCCGTATAACCTGTATTAAATATTTAAAACCAAGTTTGTGATTTGTCAGGCTGTTTTCAACACATTTTATGCATCTGGACAACACTGGACCTGTTTTCAGAAATGTAATCCTGTCAAATTAGGCTAGATGTCATAATCCCTCATCCTGACTACACCTACTCGCTCATCCCCACACTTTAGGTCGTGCCCCTCAGTGTCTCGTGGCACAGCCCACTTTGTTGGCCTTTTTCAAATTTGCCTGTGGGTGGGGTTATGGTTTCACGGGGGGGGGGGTTACACTTTAAAGAGCTATCTGTGACAGATAAGATATTTTTTGTTCTTATTCACAAAACCCTATAAAAKGCTGTAAACTGTCTGTTGTGTTTTTTGTAAAATTCACAGGTAAAAAAGGTGAACACAACTGTATCACCATCACTGTGGGTGTTTCCCGCTTTTTTTACAAATCCACTCAAGTTTTTCATTAACCTCAGGGAACCCCCCCCCCCCACACACACACACACACACACGACTTGACATTGATAAACATGTTGGAAATGATTTTTCCATCTGCCTTTGATTCCCTTTGCCATCTGTCATCGCCAGCAACTCCTCGAGCTTCAGCTCAGTTTGGAAAAATAATGTCCTCCTCCTCCATGTTTTACTCTCAGCAGCAGAGAATTTCCCCACTTTCCCGCCTTCAGAGCCTGAAATTTGTGACACCAAGTCTCCAAAACTGTACATTATCGACCCAAATGTTTCATGTCGAACAAACTCCAATGGCTGTTAATTCAAAGGGAAAATGTCATGTCTGCGTTTGTCAATCATCTCGGTGCACGAGTGTCGCAGACTTCTGGGGATGCTGAAGGATGCAACAGCTTTTTTTAATGTGATGTTTTTTGTTTTCCTCAGCGGGGAAAGATGTTTGTGCATATTTGATTGACAGAACGGCTTCCTGAAACCTTAACTCTGATTTTTTTCTCCCTATAAAAATGTTCCTGAATATTTGATGGGTAAGGAAAAGAGCCTTGCCTCTCGTTAGTCCCTTTAAAGTCTGAACTGAACTAAAAAACAATGCAGAAAATTATTCTTAAATTTAGATTGAGCTCTTAGTTGGATAAAACATGTCTGATTTATTTGTGTCCATGACAATAATATAATAAAATACCTAACTGCTGAAGATCATTTTTACAGGCAAAACAAATTTCTGTTTGACTTGTGTGTTTTTATCGCCATCTACTGACCAAGAAGGAAAACAGCACCTTTCTCTGTTTTTTAAGGGGACATCATGCAAAATCCACATTTTATTTTAGCTCCTACATGCTTTTTGTTGTGTACTTGGAGTATGGGAACAGAAAAGTTCAATTAGTCTCTCCTGGTGCTGCATAGATATATTTATATTCTATTTAGGCCAAATTTTTCTACCCGTTCAGTTTTCTCTGTTTTCTATGACGTTTTCTGAACTACAATGTCACAATATTTGTGACGGAACAGACRTATAAAGTCTGGACTTACCAACTACAATTTTATCGTCTTCATTCTCCTCTGGCTCTGGCATGTAAGGCTGGATGAACAAGTCTACTCTTGTTGACATATTTTAATTAATTTGTAATATAGGCTGTAAATTAGCTCTGGAGCTACTTCTAGTTGGCAGCTTAGTATTTATTAAATTGGTCAGATATTAAATAGTTTTCCTGTATATATGTATGTATGTGTGTATATACAGTATATGCATGTATGTATATATGTATATACAGTGTATGTATGTATATGTGTGTATATACAGTGTGTGTGTATATATATAGTAGCATAAAAAATTAAAAATTGAAAGCAAAAATAGAGCATTTTTTCCAGGATGGACGGTCTTTTTTCTTTATACTTCCCACTGGAACTAAACTGGTGAGTCTCACGTGTTCAGAAACGTGACACTTATTAAAAGTGGCAATGTTTAATGCAATTATGAAACAATAAATGTGACAATAAATATTGAAAAAGTATTTGAATTAGACTGAATTCATTTAATTTGATATGCAAATCAGTTTGTGCAGACATTGACACAGCTACTAAGCTACTTAAATATATACAACTCTAAAATAGTAGGACATTATGATCTTATGGACCTTGGTCTTAAGAAATTCTCTCTGATTGGACCCGTTTAAATTTTAATTGAATACCCCCTGGTATAGAGAGTAATAACTTTAATAATACACCCCCACAATCCTGTTCTCTCTGATCATTTTTTAATAAACTTTGAGTTTACATTACACAGCCACTTAGAGTAAATTTCAGATGTGCATCAGAGAACAATGTAGCCAAATTTAAAGAATCTCTTCCATTTTTATTTTCCTCTGTCTTAAATAGTTTCTGCACAGCTAGATAACAGTAAACCTCTCTGCAAAATTGGAAAGAACCAGTACGGAAACTGGAGGCAGGCGGGATGTGAAGCACATCAAAGAGATGTGAGATTAAAGAGACAGCATTAAAGAGACAGCATTAAAACGAGTTGCTCTCAGAAACACATTGGAAAAGAGGTGAAAGAGGGGCATATGAAGGTACAAGGAGGATTTCAGACCAAAGCAATGTTGCACTTAATATAGAGCCCAACTGGATGATTTAWATGTGAAAAGAAGGATTTAAAGGATGATTTGTCCAAAGGACTTTTCAAGACTAAAAACATATTCTCACCCACAGAGGAGAACCAATAGAAATAAAAGACCTCCACCTGCAGGAGGGGCCTTGGTGCYCTGATTCTGGCTTACGGAAAAATTCAACAACTTTATGAGATCCTTCCAAATCTGAACAATCTCATGACATACTGTGAAAGCTTGAAAGATGTGCTCATAAAAGTGTCTCTCTACAACCACGTCCGCTTTTTGCTTGATATTGGCAAAACAGATTGAGCTGCGGCAATTAAGCTTTTCCATCAACTCCATTTTCAGTCGATGAAACAGAAATTTGTCTACTTGAAAACAATCCAACATTTAGCCGTTTGGAACTAAATGACAGGATGTCTGGATCCCCGGAGAGCCAGAGTGAGACGTACACAACATGTCACTGGGATCACACACAGCAGATGTTGAGGAGCTACAGATGATGCAATTAAACAAAGCTTTTATACTTGTCAAAGGCATTTTTCTGTGATAATGTAGAGTGAACGTTGCACTGAAGAAGCTAAAATTTAACTATAAGCTGAGAGGCTATTCAGAATATTGATGGAAAAATAAATTATGGTAAATGCTGTAGCCAAAAGTAGAAAACTGCAACCTGGAAGTAGAAATACACTACTTAAAAAAGGCTAAAAGTAGCAAAATGCTAGCTAAAAGCACCAAAAGTTTAGCTATATCAAAGCTAGCTAATATATCAAAAGACTAGCTAAAGTTGTAAAAAAGTTTGCCTAGCTAAATGTAACAAATTGCAAGAAAACGAAAATGAGCAAAATTCTAGCTAAGAGGTAAATGTTTCAAAAGTCTGGCTATAGAAAAGTCAAACAGGTTGCTAAATGCATAGATGTATATTATAAAAGGATATGTTTGTTTATATAAATCTATGGCTAAGAGTTACAAAATGTAAACAAAAACTAAAAGAAGCTAAATGCCAAGTAAAATTAACAACAGACTAATAAGTACACTCTAAAAATGAAATGTTGGATTGAGTTGAGTAAATTCAAAGCAACATACTCATGTTCTTTGGTTTAAAAAAAAACTGGTACATTGCTTTGAATTTACTCAACTCAGTTAAGTGGATCCAGTTGACATAACATGGTTAAGTAAATCCAACATTTCATTTTTAGAGTGTAAGATGCAAAACATTAGCTAAAACCTTCCATAGGCTAACTAGAAGAGAAAGGTTATTAACAGGTAGCCTAAAGTAACAAATTGGTAAACAAAAACTAAAAAGCTAAATGCTAGACAAAATTAGCAATGCACTGGCTAAAAACTAAGACGCAAAACACACAAGTTAAGAGCTAAGCTTCCAAGCTAGAAAAGAAAAATTATAAACGTGTGGCTAAAAGTAACAAAAGGCAAACAAAAACTAAGGAAATGCTAGCCACRTGTATGCACTATAAAGACTAAGAACATCAAAAGGCTAGTTAAAAGTGCCAAAATGCTAAGTAGCACAAGACTTGGTGAAGAAAAGACGTAAGGCCCTGTCACACTAAACAACTTATGAAACTTTTTTATGTCTAAATTGCTAATAAAAGTTATATATTTGATCAATTTATTAGCATTACATCATGTACACACCGAAAAGAAGCTTCCTGTTGATTTTTTCAATTCAAGCTTCAACTTAGGCGTCTTTGAAATGTTCATAAGTTGGCATAAGTTGTTCAGTGTGACAGGGCCTTAACAAAAAGATGCAACAAGCTAGCTAAAAGCATKAAAGGGATAGATAATTTCTAAAATAAAAAAAGGCGGGTTAAAAGTAACAAACTAATAGTCAAAAACATCTAAACGAGAGCTAAAAGTGAGGTGTAGCAGAATATTGTTGTAGCTAAAAGCTAAAAGTTGCCAAATGGTAGCTAAAATTACTGAAACTAAAAATTAAAAAAATTGTATCATAAAAATACGAAAACAAAAACAGTGTGCTGAAAYGCTTTTTAAAGACAACAATGTTTCAAATGAAAGGAGAAAATTTTTGTAAACAAAGTAAAATTTTTTTGCAAAGTTCACCAGTTAAAAAAAGGAAAAGTAATACCCTCCTTTTATATCTTCTTATTGAGCAGAATTTGTTGTTATATGAAGACTAAAGTAGCAGAACGTATGAAGAAGTTACCTCCATCTCCAGCTGCTTATAGTTGGGTCGCAGAGGCAACAGGTCCAGGAGAGAAAGGTCTCATCAGCTGCAACACTTTCCAGCTCATCCTGTGAGACCCAGAAGCATTCCCAACCAGAGAGGAGTCCTGGGTCTTCCCTGAGGCCTCCTACTGGTGAAGGTGATTAAAAAAACATTTTAAGTAAACATTAGATGAACATTTCAGAGTCAACCTGAGTTTTTTAAGGGTGGATGGTTTGATAGGACCAAGAGGATCAGCTGTAAATGCTTTAATAATGAAGCAAAAAACAGAAAACTGATGAGGCAGCAAATGACCTGAAGACAGGAGAAGAACAGAGGAACAGTTGAGAAACATCAGCGATGGAACAAATACAAAGCAATGATCTACTGAGGTGTGGGTGAGAAGAGATGGACTAAACAGAGTGACAAACAGGCAGCTGAGCTGATCGGGATTGTGCGACAGGTGGGATTAATTGACTGAAGAGCTGACTGAGGGAAAGTTGAGTTCAATGTGAATGACACAAGCAACGTGACAGACTTAAATAAACTAAAGGGACAAGGAGTGATAAACAAAAGAATCATCGAATACCGAAACCTAAGAAGTCAAAACTGGAACTGTGCAAAACTAAAACAAGAAAGAAACAAGAAACCACACAACAACAAACGCACAAGGATCCTGACAGATTCAAGACGGGCACTTGAACTAATCACCATTAACCAAGACAAATATCACTACACCTTAGTCAGTTTTACAGATATTCAGCTTATACCTGGTCTCTTTACTGGCTGAGAGTCAGCCCCAACACATACTCCAGGCACYAACAGATCACATGAAGTATATTTTTAACTTTAACATGCAAGGCTGCAGGCCACATGCATCCCTAGAAATACAATGCAAACATACTTTCATAGTTTTAAGATTAGCTATTAAACTAAAACATGATCAATGCTTGTCATTTTAAGAAAGAACAATAATTTATTATTTATCAGGTCAAATTTTAATTGGATTTGACTAAATACTATTCAGTATAGTTGGTGGGTGCTAATGTGGAGAATGAAATTTCAAAGACTTGAACAATCAGGTTTTACTATTTAAAGCAGGTTCTACACCTAAAAATACATTTTAAACTGATATTTTGTAATAATTCCTGACAGGCTCTAACAATTGGTTCTACACCTAAAAGTTTAAACTGATAGTGTATAAATTCCTGACAGCCTTTAACTATATATATATAAAATTCCCTTTTCACCCTCCGCGGGTGGTCTCTTTCATCCTCTGAGCTCGGGTCCTCTACCAGAGGCCTGGGAGCTTGAGGGTTCTGCGCAGTATCTT